CAGATCATGAGGCTATGAGCACAAGCCTCGAATTATTAGACGAAAAACAGAAAGCCGCCTTCATTCGAATGGACGCCAGAAACAACGAATCGAAAGATATTATAATCAAAGAGCCAATCTTTGACACTTCAAAATAGGGGACTTAGCTCTGAGGAAATTCACCCTTAATACTCGAGACCCAAACGAAGGAAAACTCGGCCCAACTTGAGAAGGGCCATATCAAGTCCTCGGTGTTGTCGAAAAGGGATCTTACAAACTTGGCATAATGGAGGGCGAACAATTTCCAAACAATTGGAACATATCACTCCTCAAACAATATTATTGCTAAGGTATGACTTTCTTCCTTTTCATTTGTATTTGATACTAACTTATTACAAGTGTTTAATCGAAGACGTCGAGAAGCTCTTCAACACGAAGACCATAGGTTTTAAAGCACGCGTTGCAAACTTTTTCCCTTAGATCAGTTTTTATTCCAAATGGGTTTTTCCGGTGAGGTTTTAACGAGACAATAATTATATGTGCTACCTGGGGACAATTCGATAGTATCCGAGGCTTCTTTATAATTAACCTCGAATACTGGGGGGCATCACCCTCGGATGTTATGTTTTCAAGGAAAACACCTCGTGTCAACAAGGTCTTGATAGGAAAATTTTGTAAAGGGCCAAATGATCAAACGAACCGTGCCCACGTAATTTAACCGAGCCCTAATGACGAAACATGTACGCATGAATGATCTATTGAAAGAAGTACATTTTCCTTATCAAATATTCCACGCCTTAGTGAGATTTCTACTTTATAATTTCGTACTTACGATATATTCGAAAACTAGCTCAAGAGCCAATCGTAACTAAAGCTCGGACAATTAACCCCATACTCGGGGACTGCCGTCCGAAAATCGACCTTCTCGAATTACTAAACTTTGAAATCATAAGACCTTGTAATAGCAACTCTCAATTTTACAGGCCACGACCATCCCACTCGGGGACACTATTAAGAAACTATCTCAAAGGGCAAATCTCAAGTTAAAGGCTACGACCGAACTAACACGGTTCGAAGACATCCGAATTCCGTAATAAAACAGGCCTTCAAATATTTTTACAAAACCGGTTAAACAAGGCCACCCTCGACAAAATTACAAAGGGTTTTGATAACATCAACCCTCGAAAACCTTAAGGGGTACTAAATTGTTCGAACTCTCGAACAAACTTATGCTAAGGCATAACAAAGTTTTTGATAACTCTAAACCTCGAGAATCCTAATGGGTACAGAGTTACCTCGTGCTAAAGAATAATACATTCTTATATGATTAATCTTTTTAAGCCAAAAAGGGAAGAAACCACTCTTTTGAGGCCATGTCGGCCCAATTCAAAGAGCCTAAGGGCCATTATATTTTTTGGGTTCGAGGATCTACCCTCACTCAAATGAAACCTAAGGGGTTTTTCTACTCCGAGTTCAAGCAAATACTCACTCGATGATAGAGATTATATTAGTCCAACTCTGATCAAATCGCTTAAATTAAAATTCACGAACAAGCGAAAATGAAAAATTTCACAAGGCAACGAAGTGAGTCAAATTTCTCACAAGGCCTAAAGTATACCGGAATTATCATAAGGTGAAAGCAAAACAAAGTTTTCATGAAACGAAAATCAGAGACAAATCGGAAAGAAAAAATATCTTTCATATATGCAAAAATATTTACAAAGACCACTCGGGGCCTTACACAAAAATCCAAAAAAGAAGGAATGAATTCTAAGTTCCTAATCTTCCCTGGGAGCTATATCTTCATCTTCTCCGCTCTCGGGTCCGCTCACACTCCCGGAGTCATCATCATCAAAGAGCAAAGCTTCGTCTTCGGCCTCTAGAACATTTGCATTCTCGATGTTGTTCGTGAGGTCAAAGCCACGAGCATGAATCTCTTTGAGAGTCTCTCTCCGAGACTGGCATTTGGCATGCTCGACAATGCAGGATAATAAAACTTGAGCAATATCAGAAATTTCTTTCGCTTGAGCATTAGCGGCTTCAGCGTCGGCTCGGTAGGCGGCCACGACCGCCTCCGTGCTGGCCTTTAATTTTTCTGCTACAAATGCGGCCTTTGCAAGCAGCAGCTAGCCGAGTCTCGAGCTCTTCAATTTTCTTGGCTCGAGCCAAGCTCTCTTCCTTCATGCTTTGGAGTTGATGCTCAGCCAAAAATAGTTGGGCCCGAGTGGTATCTTTCTCTGAGGCAAGACGGTCCATATTCTGCTTCCACCCCAAATTCTCTGTCTCTTTCACCTCATCCTCCTCGCGAAGCTACTCAATCCTTTCAGCCTTCTACTGAACCTACACGATCTAAGTGTTAGTCGCCAATATCAAATTGATATGTCAAGCTCCCCAAAAATTTACGTAACCTGTTCAATGAGATCGGTCTGCTCTTTATGAGCTCTTGCCAATTCAGCTCGGAGGTCTCTGATCTCTTCCTCTTTTCGCACATAGAGGAGTTTGAGAGCGTCTCTCTCCTCCTTGAGCCTTTTGAGTTCGGCCTCACACCGGTTCAACTCAGCTCCGGATTTGAAAAACGTTTCTCGATGAAACGCCACAGCCTATGGAGAAAGGAAGTAAATTAGACAAAAGGAAATAAAAGTAAACGTAAACCTAATAACGAGGGCTGAAATTTACCTGGTTCAGGAGTCGCTGAGCCTCATCGAAAATGATTGTTGCATCTAGGTCAGAAAGATCATCGACCCTCGTAAAGCAGCCACATAATATGTCATCCCCTTCATGGACTGTTCCCACATCGGGGGTCTCCATAAACTGTGCCTCTCGAAATTACCCTTCAGAAAATGTGGGGCCAGGCGACGAATCATAAATATTGATTGCCCCAAGCAAGTCACTTGGGGAACTCTCTCCTTTTCGAAGGGCCTCGGAACCGGACCCTTCAGGCACACCCTCCGATTGTTCGTCATTGCAGACAGGCATACTCGCTGGTTGTTCGTCACGGCGAGAGACATCTTCAGCCCCTGATGACTCGGGGACTTTTCTCGGACCATCTTCCGAGATCTCCTCGGTCCGAAGATGAGCCTCCTCGACCTACACTGGCTCAGTTGCTTTTGAAGCTTCGATGCTTCCCCTCTTTCGAGCCACTAGCTCACAATCAGCATCTTCTACCTCCTATTCTTCATCTAGTAGCTTTTGGGCTACGTCGGCGGACAAAGCGGCAGTATCATTCTTCGACTTATGAGCCTTGCTCTTCTTAGGCTTTGGAGTATCGGAAGGCGAGACCCTTCTCCTCTTCTTGTCCTTAGCCGTCTTCGGGGTCCCTCTTCCCTAGGTGTGGGTGGCCTCATGGTAGCATTGTCTTTGAGACCTGTATGGGAGGAAATCAATTAAAAATAAGAAAGACACATTCACAGAAATGTATAAAACACGATAGAGAAGCTTACCGTGGTTTTTGGCCTCCCATCAGCCCTTCGCCAAATCACGCCAACAACGCTCAGAGTACGAAGAGGTCGAGGCCAGCTTCCGAAACCAGCCTTCAAGGTTCGGGATTGCACCGGGCACCCAAGAAACCGTTGTATCGTAGGAAAGTATGTCAATACGAAAAGACAAAAGAAACAAAACGGTAGACGGAAGCTATAGGTGAGTTCGTGCTTACGCTTCATGTTCCACTCTTCAAGGAAAGACATTTTCTCGGCCGGGATTATGTCGGAAGACCTCACTCGGACAAACTAGCCCATCCATCCACAGTCCTTTCAAAAGTGTGTTCATGACACACCACTTTTGTAGTTGACCAGTTTCACAAAATATGTCTATGTCACGCACCAATGGGGTTTCGATACGTGTCCTTAACGCAAAAAATACTTAGATTTACAAATATACCCTCATCTCCTTCCCTCTTAGACTTCTGGACTCTCTTTTTTTCGGATTAAAGTTCTCTTTTAGTTGCTTTTTTTTTTTCTTTCTTTCAAAGCCACCCTAATCAATTTCAATTCTTTCCAAACATCGGATTTAGCTTTGTGCAAGTGTTTTCATCAAAGACCTTGAATACCCACTTGAATTTGAACATGAAATTTCATATCCAACTTTTATTCCGACTTCAACCTTCGAAGCTTTGCCGACAATGGTGATTTGAATATTACTCCACCCAAATCTCATTCCAAACAGTGATTACAATTCAATTTTCGATCTCACAACTCCACTATTTTTAAAAATAAATTGTTGATTTTAAAAAATATTAAATTTATTGTAATAGACTTGAGGTGAGTTCCATTGTTCGAGTCAAAGATAAAATTCAATTTTGAACTCGAATTTATAGTTGACATCAATGGATAATAATTGTGTGGGTTGAAATTTGAAAGCAACTACTGATTTCAAAAGACTTCAATGGCGAGCAGAATACAAAAATAGTTACTGAGTTCTAGGTTGATGCTAATTTGAGATCTAAAAATTATGTGGATTGTTTGCTGTTTGGAATTGATTAAGAACTAATCTTTGAGCTTAAAACCATTTGAACAGAGTGATTTCACGAGGAATTCTGTACTTCCATGGTTGAGTTCTTATGACTTTAAAACTGAGTTAATGTTTTAAGTTTTTTTTTTTAAAATTTTTGGAGTTCACTTGCCCTTTTTCTGTGTATAACACGTGAGTGTCAGCTAAGCAAAGTGGTGTGTTATAGATACACTTTTGAAAGATTGAGTGTGTAAGTTAATTTTCGCCATCAAAAAATGTGTAACAGAAATTTGGTCTATAGTTCAGGCAGTAACTTATGTATTTTACCATAAAATAATTATGCCACTAGCTAGATACGGTAGAAAAGCAATAGTAATACAGAAAAGTTAAGTTTTTCTTCTCAAATATCACGAGGAGCGTGAGAACCACTCTCCTTAGCATGACCTTGTTTCGTAAGATAAAACACTTTCCAGATCACGTGCGTTAGACACTATGAACGACAAATCTCCTTTGCCCGGATTGCACTTTGCTTTTCGAATTCCTATTCAAATTCAAATATACATAATCATACAATATTAACTATTTATACATCCAATCCAGTTTCCGTCACTCATTATCAATAAACTACTACATCTATTATCTATATATCACACACACACATAATCGTCGGCGAAGCACCGGCGCACGAGTCGTCGACCTCAACTACATACGCATACATATACACGGACTCATAAAAGTTGCTTAATTATATATACATAGATAGAGAACGAGGTTCATATTGCAGAGGAATGGCGATGGTAGACGCGGAGGCGATTGTAAAAGAACTGAGGGAGACGTACGCGAGTGGGAAGACGAAGAACTATGAGTGGAGAGTGTCGCAGTTGAAAGCTCTGTTGAAGATCGCAGAGCATCACGAGAAGGAGATCGTCGATGCTCTTAATTCCGACCTCTCTAAGCCTGAACTTGAATGCTTTGTTCACGAGGTTTATCTCTCTCTCTCTCTCTGTGTGTGTGTGTGGACTTGTAATTTCAATAGAATATAAAGATTTAAGTTATTTACACAGATAAATTTGAATTCAAGCAGTCAAAGAATTACATACTAATTGGTTATATTTCACTATGTGAATGGTTGAATGACAATTCTGAGTTTCTAGTACCTTTTGGAATAATATCGGAACAATAAAGTTGAGGACTGATCGAGAATTCTGAGTTTTAAGCATCTTCCTTACAACATACTATGAAACATAAAGTTGTAATTGGAATTATGATTTGTTACGTGTACTCTGTTTTTCTCAGATTTGGAACTCTTCTTGTGATTTTGTTTTACCAAGCTTATGGCTTTTGAATTAAACATCGGATTTTTTGAGCACTTGTTTCTTTTTGTCTTTTTCTTCCAAAAAATTGGCGACTCTTATATTTCCTTGAACAGTCACATGGAAGGAGTTAGTAAAACTATCTCCAAAGCCTCAAAGTTATACTTACAATTTTAGTTTTGGTTTAGTAATTGAAAATTGTACAGGCTATTTTTGTTTGTTGGGGTTTTCCTGTGTTTAAATCAATTTTGTAAAGTTGGATTTTCTGTCTTCCTTTTTTGTCCTTTGCAACTATTTATAAGGGTGCATAACTACATAGCTGACTGAGTATTTAGAAGAAAACTAGCACGGAGTTTTCTTTTTTCTGGGTTTCAGATTTAGCATCTAGATTTTAGTTAGATAGTCTATTGCAAAATGAGTTCTCTTTTCCTCTTTTCATATCTAGCTTTCTGGAATTGGAGAAGTTTTAAACCATTTAAAAGAGTAATGTTGGGTATTCTGCTTTGCAGAGGGTCCTTAGAGTGACAGGTATAAGCCAGATAAATAGGTCATTGTTGTTCCTGATGTTCGTTATCTCGAAAGTGTATAGATATCACCAAGATTAGCTTTTGGTTCTTATATATAGTCCTGGACTTCTTAGCTATATCGGACCAGATTTTCTTTTAGTCTTCTAATTCATATATTCTTCTAATGCAGATTTCTATGATGAAAACATCCTGTAAGCATGCATTGAAGGAACTAAAACGGTGGATGAAACCGGAAAAGGTAAAATTTTGTAGCTATTTATAGATATATATTACTTAATTTATCTTGGTTACTAATTAGTAGAAGCCCACTGATGCTAACATATGGAAATTGCAGGTCAAAACTTCATTAACTACGTTTCCTTCATCAGCTGAAATAGTTCCAGAACCCTTCGGTGTTGTATTGGTTATATCAGCCTGGAACTATCCATTCTGTATGTGAAAAACTGTACATTTATCTCCTTCATAAGTGCGTGTGATTATGTTTCCTTTTATTTTTTCCTTTCAATATACCTATAAGCAAGTCTCAAATTAAAAATCAGACTACTCGCTTAACTCTACAAAAGTTTCTACTATTTTATAAACTTTTATAATCAAGGGTTATGGTGTGTCTTTGAAACTAAATAAGCTTATATATGGATGAACAATGTCAATAATGAGAATGCTAGGATGAATATTCTTGCTTCTTGTTTTTGCAACTTTAGATCTGCGTGACTATCGGCAACTCACAATGCAGAGAGAAACATATCCCTCACTTATTTACACTGACAGTCTTTGATTGACAAATCTGTCAATGAAGACTAGGTCATATTTAGTGTAAGAGTTTCACTTGGGTCAAACTATTCTATGCTTGGGGAATCTTAGTAGCTTAGTTGGTTGGCTACCTGAACTTTTGCCTAGTGGTGAGGGCTCTATTCCCCATCTAGTAATTCCTTCCCCCCTTTTACCCTTCCCTACCCCCTATGTAGAAAAAAAATAAAAAAAAATATTCTATGCTTTTCCTGAATAAAAGGCCAAAAACTAAGCAGATTCCAGTATATCCTTCTCTGATGCAAGTCTTCCAAAGTGCCTTTGTCCTTGTTCATGGCAAGTTTTCTGTTATCCTTTATCAGTATTTTACTGCTGATCTCCGATTGTGTTATGATAGATGAGTATATGTTTAGCTGAAAAGTTACAGTACGGATGTATCAATCAGGTATTGATACTATGTTCTTCCCCTCCCCCTTCATTCTATTTCAGTGTTGTCCCTTGATCCAGTGATTGGAGCTATTGCTGCTGGTAATGCTGTAGTTCTGAAACCATCAGAAGTAGCCCCAGCTACATCTTCAGTGCTTGCAAAACTTTTAGGGGAATATATGGATGTCACTGCTATAAGAGTTGTAGAAGGCGCAGTACCCGAGACAACTGCATTACTAGAGCAAAAATGGGATAAGATATTTTATACAGGTCTGGAAAATTTCTTTGCTGGTTTAATTTATTTCCATGTCATTTATAGAATAATATATCTGGTAGGATTATTTATAGATGGACAATGGCCCAACTCTGTAGCTGTCTCTGGTAGCAACATAACTTCCTTTTATCTTTTAGGCTTCGGAGACAACTGACTGGTTTGTTAACAATGTGGTAATTTTCCTACAGTGCAATTGACAGGTCGTGATACTTTTGCCTTTACATCACCTATTGTCTAGATAAGACAGAGTATATGCACCACAAGTTTAACCCGTTAAGGAGAATGAATGTGAAGTAACATTAGATGGATTGAGGTGCCTAAATACCAATAATTCAGATACCGAAGTTAGTTTTTCAGGAGAATGACATGTTAGAGGAGCATGTATTACATAGAAAAAAATGAGATGGTCAAAATGGAATAGTGCGATGTAGCTTCATGTAATAGAAAGATACCTAACTAAGTCAAAGGCAATTTCTATATAAAGGTTGTGACACCAGCAATTTTACATGAGAGTCAATATTAGGTCTCTAAGGTCAATTTCACAAAAAGAATGTCCTGGCTTAGCAATGAGTGTCAAAAAAATGTGAATGTTAAGGATAGATGTGCTATAAGGTTGGACAATATTAGAAATGACCACATCAGACAAAGGGTGCAAGCAACAAACATAGAGGGTGGTGTCCTGGCTTAGGAATGTCTTATATTGACCTCAAAATACATTGGTCCTTAGGTACAACATTATAATTATTGAAGGTGCTAAAAGGAGACGAGATACATATAAAGAAGTTGTTCCAACATACCTAGAATCTCTCTGAATTAATGCAGACTGATTTAAGAACAGAACAATGTAAGCAAACAATCCATAAAAGCAGTAACAACTTGTTTGGATTATGATTTAGTTGCTATTGTTTCACTTACATTAGGTTTGTGTTGCCAACTTGTACATCAGCGTGGGGACTAAGTATGAGATTTAAAGAACTTCGAGTTTAAAAGAACCCTAATATGTCGTAAAAGACAAATTATTTAATATTATTGCCAACAAATTTTGCCCGAATTGTGCAAAATGGATTTAAAGGATTCATATAGTCAACCTCGACTAGTTTGAAATTGAGACTTAGTTGATTCATCGATTGATACTTCACTTATTATCTAATCATAGCAGACTTATGTAGAGAAGGAAGTGTACACTAGATCAAAAATGATAGTAGTTAGAAACTTTGACTGCTGTATTTTGGAAATATTATTGAATGTGTATTACTGATACCATTAGATTCATGATATTTTTCTTAAATACTTTTATTCCTAAGCTTCACCAGGGGAGGAACTCTATTTACCAACCAGGGCTGGGGATCCATTAACTACATGATCAGTGATTATTTTCAAAATTTATCTTAGCCTTAAGAGCTTAAACTTCTGTATGATCCATATACACATTCCCCTCCCCCCACAGCAGGGGAAAAGAGACAACAAAAAGTGACATTGTGTTATTGTTAAATGTCATTAGTAGTCAGTGCGATATTTTCTTCTCCATTTCTAATATTTTTACTTGAAACTTGGTAAAAAAGAAGAGGGACGAGATTGAGATGGACTGCATGTGGGTTTCCATGCAATAATTAGTCTAATCGACTAAAATAATAGTGGCAGTTAGTTTGTATTGCAACGTTCACAGGCGTTAGTAGATATTGTGATTAAGATACTGACTTTGCCAAGTTTTATTTGTAAGACTTATTTGGAGTTGATCTGTTCACTATGATAATAATTAGCAAGTTATATGCTCATGTTATCATTCGCAATCAAACAATTAATACTGTAGGAAATGGAAAAGTTGGACGGATTGTGATGGCGGCTGCGGCAAAGCACTTGACACCTGTGGTTTTGGAGTTAGGTGGAAAATCTCCAGTTGTTGTGGATTCAAACATCAATTTGAAGGTAAAATTTCTTATTTGCTCTTTAGTCTCTAAGTTGTCAGAACATATATTGCCAAAAATCATAATAATAACCTTCTCAATTTTTTCTTTTATATATCAAATTGTTTTTGCTTTAAGGTTGCAGTAAGGCGTATTATTGCTGGCAAGTGGGGCTGCAACAATGGACAAGCGTGTATCTCTCCTGATTATATAATTACTACCAAAGAGAATGTGCCAAAACTGGTGTGTTTTATGAGACCAAGGAGCCTTTATGTCTGACATTATGCAAAATCCTTTACTCATTTGTTATATTTTTGTTCTTTTGATTCCTCTTCTCCAGCTAGATGCCATGAAACTTGAATTGGAGAAATTTTATGGGAATGATCCACTAAAATCAGGCGATATATCTCGCATTGTGAATGCTAACCACTTTCATCGACTATCAAAGTTATTGGATGATAATAAGGTTGTCGATAAGGTAGTTCATGGAGGTCAGAGAGATGAAAATAACTTGTGAGTCGACCACTCTTTCTCCTGTAACATATTATCACAAAGATATCTATGAGATGAGAAATCTTTGTTATTCATCTTCTTTTCCTCATATCAGAAAGATCGCTCCTACAATTCTTCTGGATGTCCCAGAAGATTCTTTAATCATGAAGGAGGAAATATTTGGCCCTCTACTTCCTATTCTCACGGTAAGAACTGCACTTCCTCTAAGAGGTGACTTGTCTTTTGTGCATTCCATTTTGGTAACAAAACAACAAAACAATCGCTGGATAACAATGTCACGCGGTTATGACCTTCTCATGAATGAGATTTCGTCTACAAGTTGGTCATTTTCCAGACCAACTTATTAAATTTCACGTATTTTCGGTAGTGAAATTCATCAGCAACAAAACTTCTTCAAAAACTGTGAAAATATATTGCTCCTAACTTATACTCACCCAGCTCAAATGAGGATAATCTCTTTTGGCTTCCTCATGGTAATTATTATGCCATTTCTGCCCATATACTACGAATTACAGCAGATAATTTTTAAGCAATAGGTCGCTTATGAGAGCTTAACAGACAGTTTTAGCTGCATTGTTAAGTCTAGAATGACCTACTTCCACCTTTTGAGAATGAGCAAAGCTCAGGTGGGAGGTTTGCCGAAAATTCTGTCCATAGTCTGCTGACAGTACTATTGTGAAGTTCTTGGCATGAATAGGTCCTGCTTTTCTTTTGTGCAGGTCAATAAAGTGGAGGATTCTATAGAATTCATTAATGCCAGAGAAAAGCCACTCGCAGCATATCTGTTCACTGGCAACAAGAAACTGGAGGAGGAATTTGTCAGGAATATATCAGCAGGGGGTCTGCTGATCAATGACACCACTTTACATGTAATTCTGTCCTTCCCTACTAACCAAACTTTCTATATTTACTTGTGCTAACATGACTTAATATTTTGTTTATCTGCTTAGGAGACATGCATTGAGATTATCACATTTATGTACTTCAAGTCTTCATGCTGATCTCAAGCTTTCTCAGACTATTATATTTTACAAGCAAATGTGAAATTGTTGATAGTTTGTTTCCATAGTGCTGGGGGAGTTTGAGGAAGATTCAAACTGATAATTTGAAAAATTATTACAAGTGGAGATTAAACTAAGATTTTTGGAAGTTGAAACTGAAATAGGAATACAATTTGTGAGGCATTAAGCTTAATGCAATACTTGAGAGGGAGAGAGAGAAACTATCTTCAGAAGAGATTCTTTGAATCTAGAAAAACTAAAAAAAGTAAATTTACTTTGTGTGTCAAAATGTACTGTGTAGGTGTATCTTAATTATTTGTGGACTTCAAGTTGTTGTTGAGACCGAAGCTAGAGTATCTGAAACATTTCTTAATCACGAATGTTGTGGAGTATGTCAACTGTACGAATTTTTTTGCATTTTAATCGTGTGTGCTGCTGCTGGATTTCATTGCTTTGTCTAATCATATGATGCCATAGACTCTTGTTAAATGTATTGATGAACTGTATATTTGAATAATGCAGCTTGCTACTTCCACTCTTCCATTCGGAGGAGTTGGGGAAAGTGGAATGGGTTCATACCACGGTAGATTCTCGTTTGAAGCTTTCAGCCACAAGAAGGCTGTTCTGCGTCGCAGTTTTGGTGGGGATGTACCTGCAAGATACCCGCCTTATACACCTGAGAAGGTGCGATTTCTCAAAGCCCTGTTAAATGGAAATATACTCGGGCTGATTCGTGCATTACTTGGGTGGTAAAAGTTCACTCAACTTCAGATAACCCCATGAATTTTCAAGCTAGGATTTCTGGTCCGAGCTTGCTACTATACTTGTAAGCTTTCCATTTGTTGGGGATTATCCTAGAACTAGGTGATCGCAGTGTTTCCACCCTCCAGGCATAATTTACCTTCATATTTCAAGTCACTTCTCTTATTAATGCATCTCGGGAGAATACTATATATTTATTTTTCTTCTACAAAATGGTAAAGTTGTTTGATTATTCATAATAATAGAATTTTACATCTCAAATTCCATTATTGTAGTATATTTTGTTGTAATTTTTCTGCCGTTATGTTTCTTCATGCTAGACAGTGCCTATAATGTGACATTGCCAGTATGATCAAGTTTTGATTCTTATTCATCAAACATATTGAGGTTAATCATCTACTGATTTTCGAGGACGGGGCTAATGCTAGTTGCCTATTTTATTTAGGGATGGCGGTAGGGCCGTAGGTGGATATACCACGTGCATATGCTATTTCTTTCATAAAAGGCCTAGGTTTGTTTCATTATTGAAAAATTATCTTGTACTGTAATTGTAAGTCTTTCTTTTCCACTATTAGATTCTTTGACAAAAAATTTAAGTAATGAAAAATTTGTTGTTAAGGTGTCTATCTCTATCACTTGTAGTTATTAAATTTAAAAATAATTAAAAAAAGGTACTACTTTGACAGCACTGGTTGGCAGATGATGTTGACTGTTACATCTCGCTATTTCGTACGTAAAAGTTTCATCGTACGTTATTGACTTAGGGATGAAATTATCTTGAGGTTATAAGCATTTATGCAATTTATAACAAGTGATAAATAAGTGTCGTGAAGATTAAAGGGTAAACAAATCAAAGAAAGTGACTTGCGTCGAAGTTTGTCAATATGGATAAAATACGGTCCGAGCTATAATACCCTGTATTTATGGACTAGTTCCATACAAGGTACTATATGACCATGATAGTAAGATGTATAAGGTATGTTAAAAATGAGTAGTATTTTAAGTAAGTTGAGATAAATCTTAATTATGTGGATAATTGGGTAATTAATAATTTTTAGTGGGAGATTTATTAAAATCTTTGGATAAATTAAGAGTCTCACGTGGCAGCAAGCCTCCCCAAGATTAATGACTCTTAAATCATTAGGAAAGGTGGCAAAGTAAAGGAATGTGGTTAAGCTACCACATAAAGTGGTATCAGAGCAGTTCTATCCCAGGATTATCTACAGACCGTGTCTAGTAAAGTCTTGGTTATGGGTGTGTTGTGCACCACACTTATAGACAGGAGGCTACGGGACATATAGAATGTTATCATCTCTTCTCATCTTAGATCGTATGATATAAGAATTCATGTTCCTAACGATATGTTATGTTTTCAGCGATGCCTCCGAAAACTACAGCCGGCCAGAAGGGCAAGTCCGCGGCTGGTGAGACTACTAGTCGAGCGCCATGAGTTACCAGAGCTCGGGGAGAGTCTCATAGTGAGATTTCATCTTAGATTTCACATACCCCGCCCTCTCCAGAAGAGCTCCGAGGGGCACCAGCTCCAGCGCCCGCCCCTATACGTCAAGCTCCTCAGCCAGATGCACCGGGTCAGGAGATGAGAGATGCCGGTCAGGAGATGAGAGATGCTATTCAGCTATTAACTCGATCAGTAGCCGCACAGGCTCGACGTCAGGAGGTAGGTATCAGCCATGCAGATAGGTTCGTAGTGCGAGGGTTTGTGATTTCATTAATTTGGACCCTCCGATATTCACTGGAGCAGATCCAAACGAGGACCCTCAGGTATTTATTGATAGAATGCAGAGGACATTGAGGGTAATGACGGCCACTGCGACTGAGTCGGTTGAGCTAGCCTCCTATAGACTCCAAGATGTTGCAGTTAATTGGTACGAGTCCTGGGAGTTGTTTAGAGGTGAGGATGCCCCTCCAGCAGTATGGCAGGAGTTTACTGAAGCTTTTCTTCGTCATTATCTGCCACCAAAGCTTAGGCGGGCCAGAGTTGATAGGTTCTTGACCCTTCGGCAGGGTAACATAAGTGTTTGGGAGTACAGTCTTCAGTTTGATTCGTTGGCTAGGTATGTTCTCACTATTGTATCTAAGATGGAGGATCGGGTTCACCGGTTTGTGATGGGGATAGAGCTGCACTTGCTTAACAATTGTATGTCAGTCTCACTTCATCCATACATGGATATTTCTCGTATTCAGGCATATGCTCAGGGTGTAGAGGAGCGTAAGTAGAAGTAGAGGGCCGATCGTGAGCATGATAGGGTCCAGAATAAGAGAGCGAGGTCTTCGAGTCCTTCTGGTGAGTTTCGAGGTGGTCAGAGATAACAATACTGAGGTATCGAGCCCAGCCATCGGCTAGCACACCTTCTCGGTTTGGCGGTAAGAGATTAGATAGTTCCACATATTCAGGGCCTGGTCAGAATTCCAGGGCCTCAAATTCTCAGTATAGGGGTGAGTCAAGTCAGATAAGGCCGCCCTTGCCGCGATTGCTCAATGTGGTAAGCAGCATGCCGGGCAATGCCGTATAGGGTTGGGTGTTTGTTATACTTGTGGTTATCCAGGCCATGTTATGAGGGATTGTCCGACAAGAGGTGATGCAAGTATAGCTTAACCAGCGGGATCTAGAGCTGGTTTGTCATCATCAGTATGCCCCCTAGGCAAGGTTCACAAGCACCAATCGGTCGTGGTAGAGGCAGAGGCGGAGCATCTAGCTCGAGCGGTCCTCAGAACCGCATTTATGCGTTAGCAAGACAATAGGATCAGGAGTCGTCACCTGATGTTGTTGCAGCTATATTATCAATCTCCTCATATGATGTATATTCACTAATTGACCCGGTTCCACCTTATCATATGTTACTCTGTTGGCTGCTAGTAAGTTTGGAATAAAACCTGAGTTGGTTAAACCTTTTTTAGGTATCAACACCTGTTAGGGACCCAGTGATAGCTAGGCGGGTATATAGAGATTGTATAATAGTAGTTCATAGTCGATCTACAATAGCAGACCTAATCGAGTTAGATACGGCGGAATTTGATGTGATAATGGGTATGGATTAGTCGGCTTCTTTTCATGCCAACGTTGATTGTAGATCGAAGATGCTCCTATTCCAATTTTCGGGGGAGCCTGTTTTGGAATGAAAAGGGAATACAACATCGCCGAGAGGTAGATTTATTTCCTATCTCAAGGCAAGGAAAATGATTAGAAAGAGCTATATTTATCACTTAGTTCGGGTTCGGGATGTGGAAGTAGAGTCACTAACCATTCAGTCCATCCCTGTGGTTAATGAGTTTCCCGATATTTTTCCTGATAAGCTTCCGGGTCTTCCGCCAAAGTGAGAAATTGAGTTTGCTATTTACCTACTACCAAATACTCAACCAATATCTATTCCTCCTTATAGAATGGCTCCCACAGAGCTGAAAAAGTTGAAGGAACAACTAAAGGACTTGCTTGAAAAAAGCTTTATCAGACCTAGTACATCACCGTGAGGAGCACCTGTATTATTTGTGAGGAAGAAAGATGGTTCCTTACGGATGTGTATTGATTATAGACAGTTGAATAAGGTGACGATCAAGAATAAGTACCCGCTCTCGAGGATTAATGATTTATTTGATTAGTTGCAAGGTGCCAAGTGTTTCTCAAAGATAGACTTGAGGTTCGAGTACCATCAGGTAAGGGTTAAGGAGAAGGATATTTCGAAGACAACATTTAGGACTAGATACAGGCACTTTGAGGTTCGTGTTATGTCATTCGGTTTGACCAATGCCCGAGCAATATTCATGGACTTGATGAACCGTATGTTCAGACCCTTTTAGATCTATTCGTAATTGTATTTATTGTCGATATATTGGTGTATTCTCGTTCAGAGATTGAGCATGCAAATCATTTGTGTACTATGCTCAGAGTTCTACAAAAAATAAAATCGTATGCAAAATTCTCTAAGTGTGAATTCTGGTTGAACTTTGTAGCTTTCCTTCGGCATATTATTTCGGGTGAGGGTATCCGAGTTGACACAAAAAAAATTGAGGCAGTAAATACTTGGCCTAGACCACAACACCGATGGAGGTTCGTAGCTTTCTCGGTTTGGCGGGTTATTATAGGAGATTTGTAAAGGGATTTTCTTCTCTTTCAGCACCTTCGACAAAGTTGACTCAAAAGAGAGCAAAGTTTCAATGGATTGATGCTTGCGAATAGAGTTTCCAGGCATTGACGGACAAATTAACATCAGCACCGGTTCTAACGCTCCCAGAAGGGACTGATGGTTATCTTATCTATTGTGATGCTTCGGGTGTTGGATTGGGTTGTGTATTGATGTAGCATGGTAAGGTTGTAGCTTATGCTTCTAGACAACTAAGAAAGCACGAGAAGAATTACCCGACCCACAATTTAGAGTTAGCCGCGATGATTCATGCACTAAAGATGTGGAGGCACTACTTGTATGACATTCATGTTGATATCTATACAGATCATAAGAGCCTCCAGTATATCTTCAAGCAAAAGGAATTGAATTTATGTCAAAGGAGATGGTTGGAGCTACTTAAAGACTATGACGTTGATATTTTATACCATCCGGGGAAGGTAAACGTAGTAGCCGACACCCTCAGCCGTAGATCTATGGGTATCCTGTCATATTTACAGCCAGAGAAGAGGGGAATAGCCTATGAGATTCATCAGCTAGCTAGTCTTGGAGTTCGGTTACTGGACTCAGGTGATATTGGAATTATTATTCAGGATACGACAACATCCTCTTTAGTAACTGAAGTGAAGGAACGTCAGTACCTGTGTTAGTTCATTATAGGGATACAACCCCTCAGAAGGAGAAGACACCGTTTGAGATTACAGAAGATGGGTCCTCAGATATCGAGGATGATTATGTGTCCCGAATGTTGCAGGGCTGCATCGGCAGGTTATGGGAGAAACTCACTATTCTCANAAGACACCATTTGAAATTACGGAAGATGGGGCCCTCAGATATCAAAGGCGATTATGTGTACCTAATGTTGCAGGGTTGCATCGGCAGGTTATGGGAGAAACTCACTATTCTCATTATTCTATCCATCCATGAGCAACAAAGATGTATCATGATATCAGGGAAGTATATTGGTGGGACGGAATAAAAAAGGATATAGCGGATTTTGTTGCTCAGTGCCCTAACTGTTAGCAAGTTAAGATTGAGCATAAAAAACCGGTAGATTATTGCAGGCTATTAAGATTCCGACTTGGAAGTGGGGCCCACATTCATATATAAAACATCTCCAACTTAAAAAATCGATAGATTATTGCGGGCTATAGATATTCTTGAGAAAGATTACA